TGCACAAAGAGCATTAGTTTGGGATCCTATGAAGCACAGATTGTTGGTACCTTATAAGGCTGAAGGCCCCAATAAACTGAAAATTCAATAATGCCAACATATTAATTTTTGCTATATAGAAAAATGTATTGAATTTGCTGTGCAAATGCATCTCAAGTGGACAGATTACTGAGATCTATCATCCTGTGTGAATCGGTCATATACGTTAGCCGTTCTTTGGTAGCATTTTCTTTACGGGCCCAAGTCTGGAAAACCCTTCCTGTCCAAATAGTACTTAAGAATGCTAAAGCAGGATGACGTACACGAATGTTGTGCGGACTCTATGGTCAGCAGGTCTCTCTGGACTGAAAATGGAGCTCTATTGATTGCTGAGTGGCTTTTAACAGAGAGCGGCCATAAATCTGAGCATCCTGTACTGCACTGATCCCTCTGGCAGCCTCTCTGCTGTCCGTCTGTTCCATCCTGAGATCAGGTACGTTACTGTAGTCCCTATGATGGTTCTTTTTAAGGGCCGTGCCATCAGTGTTTGATCTGCAGCGACGCCCTAAACCTGCACATGGAGTCCAGATCAGGAGCTTCTCTTCCGTGAAAGCCTCAGTTTGTGTTGCTGGTGCCGGTTCGTTTGTAAACAGAGGATGCCTTAGTCATCCTCCTGACGAGATTACATAACTGAAACAGGAGACTTTCTGACAGATCTGCTCTCTGAGCACCGCCAACTCTTATGTTAATGTGGTCTGGGGAAAAAATGAGCTTGTCACAATGTTTTGAGCTCTGTTTATGAATCTGACCTTGAGTCAGCTATTCAACACTGCGTCGCTCGTAGGAGTGTCAAGTTGCCTCGCCTTTAGGCTGAAAACAGTTTAAGCAGTTTTTGAGGCTTTCCTGCGAAGAGTAACTGATTTACAGTTAGGGAAGAGCACAAACTAACACAGGATGCTATGTAACATGGCTTTTTAACGTTGTTGACATCTCTTCAGACTCTTTTTGTACCCTCTTGGTGGCCAGTTAATTTTGAGTCACCTCAATCATATTTTAAGTGGACAAGAATAGAAAAGAATGAACGCTTCATTCATTTTGATCAGAAAAGTTAACGATATCAAAAAAGTTGTGTTTAAAAGAGGACAGATGTGACCATCTTTATTGATGTACAAACTACTCTTCTGCTGATTCATACACGATGTAGAAACGAGCGGAGATTCCGGTGCAGTTAGCTTCGGTGCGTAAAATCAAGCACCATCCTGACAGCACCTCATTTACATATCATTTGCATGATGCACGCCCTAATTCATGCTGGCGTTTCTGGAGGGAGCCAATAAAAGGACAGCATTCAGCGACCTGTGGCTGTGCTCTTAGGCAGAGTTTGAGGTGGAGTTTGAAGTTTGAGTGAGTGAACTGCTTCCCCCTACTGGCCAAACTGTATAGTGTTAAATTTACGACGACTGGACAAAATAAAATGTGAAATAAACAAAACTCCTTAGTTCTTTTAAGACGGTAAATGATGTGATGTGAATGTGTAGTAGTGCTGTCGCCTCACAGCAAGAAGGGCCTGGGTTGGATTCCCCGCCCGGGCCACCAAGGTCCTTTCTGTGTGGAGTTGGCATGTTCTTCCCGTGTCTGTGTCGGTTTCCTCCTACAGTCAGAAAACATGCAGTCAGGCGATTGTTTTCTGCCTTCTGCCCAATGAGAGCTGGAATCGGCTCCAGCACCCCCAAGGAGCATAAGCAGCTTAGATAATGTGTGTGTGTATTATTGCAGTGTATGAGAAGCTCCTACACTAGCTGTGTTTTGTTTTGTGGGTGGAGTCAATAGCGTAAAACAAAAGCACCGTTTAATATGTCTTTAAATTGAACATGGAATAGTTGCAGCATTTGTTTATAACAGTGAGCATGTAAAATAAGTACATCCTCTTTTGTACTGGATTACCTTGTGCACAAGTTATTAGTATTATGGTGAGTGTTTTTATTGTTTTTATTGTTTTTTTATACATGATGTTGATAATAGTTTTGGTGAGTTAACCACAAATCCTTTTTTCAGGTTATTGAGCTATGATGCTCAAATGTCCGCACTCCTACCAGGCGTCAGTTTGTTGTATAGATATGCCAAAAATGAAACTGGTAAATGACAAAACTGTCTGTGAACTTTTGCAATCAGATTTAACACAACTTTGATGAACAAGGGCACATAAAAAACTATAGGAAAACCAAATCTACTGAATTGTATAGAAAATAAAGAAATGTATTGATACAAGAAAAACAACACATTTCATGCTTGCAGGACCTTCTGGACCCTAAGCTATTGCATAGACCACTTACAGCAAGAAACAGCCCTGTTGGAGAATGTACTATAGCACTGTTTTGAAGAATATAAACAACTCACAGTGAGAGTTAGAAAGGCTAAAGTACAGCCTCAGCATGGTGGAGGTAGTTTTAACACACTATTACAACTAAGACCCCCAAAGAGAACGCTGACAGAGCTCCATATCCCCTCTGTGTAAATTCAACAGTTAATTTTTTGGAACTCTTTATTCACAGGTTAATTAAAAACATGGGCCTACTACAGATGTAGGCCTATGCAGCAGCAGCAGCAGCACTGCTGTGTCTGATCCACTCAGACCAGCACAACACACACTAACACACCACCACCATGTCAGTGTTACTGCAGTGCTGAGAATGATCCACCACCCAAAAAGTACCTGCTCTGTGAGGGTCCTGACCACTGAAGAACAGGGTAAAAGGGGGCTAACAAAGTATGCAGAGAAACAGATGGACTACAGTCTGTAACTGTAGAACTACAAAGTGCACCTATATAGTAAGTGGAGCTGAAGATGGACAGTGAGCGTAGAAACAAGGAGGTGGTCATAATGTTATGCCTGATCGGTGAATGTAGGCTGGGAAGCTCATTACTATGTTTGCCAGACTTTTCAAGCAACTGTTACAACCAGCGCCTCACCCTGTTGCAAGTTAACCCCACTTAAGTTATCAGCTCTCCCTCCACTTCCGGGTGAACCTTTCACACACGGTGGGTGGTAGAAACAAAGTTTTTATTTGTAGCAGAAATGTATTGGTTGATTGTATTAAAAAAGTATTCGTTTTGCTCAAATAGTTTGAAAATTATTTAGCAAGAATTGGACCGTGATGGGTCGTGTCCAGGTCTCCCTTACATGGAGCAAGCTGAGTAAAGATTCTGACCTTTCTTTAACGTCTTATCAGATTTTACTGTAGAGCATCTGTAGCTCCCAACATCAGCCACCTCCAGCATCTGGTCAGGAGGAGGTCTGCCATTCTCAGACTGAGTAGAGACTTTGTTTTCTCAGATTGTTGAAGATATCTAGATGTTTCTGCTTGGTCATACGTTGGCCCTCTGGGACAGCCAGTGGGATGATGCACTGTGGTGTGAGACTTTGGCTCTTGCGCAGAAGAAATGTTAGGGTTGTTTGAGGATCACTCTGTCCTTGAGTCGTCGTCTCCTGGGCTTTGGTGGTGCGGTCTACTGTCTGCCTCCCCTTCATTCAGTTTTCTTTCATGATGGCCACTCACATGATGCCTGGCTGGAAACATCATGGTTTGAGATCGTTGGCCTTCTAGCACTTTGGGCACGTTATAGTTCTCATGGAGTCGATTAAGTGTTGGATGATTTCATGGATGTATGGGTGGGGTTTTAAGGAGTGTCACAGTCAGGTGTTGTCATTGCTTTCTGGGTGTCAGTGGTGGAGAAGGGTGTGGTTGGCACTGTGCTGTTTGATTGTGGTTTGAATTTGATTGCTTTGACGGTTGGTGACTCGGGCTCCTTTCTCGATATCTCAGTGTTTATGAAAATGTTTTTTTTTTTCCTCACTTTGGCCTCCCGGCCACCCAAGAATGGAGTTTTAAGTCAATGCAAAACCTGAAAATGCTGCATCACGTTATGCACATGTCTGTCGCTGTATTCATTCATTGAGCATGCAGAACTAAAACATATCTCACTGTGTGCTCAGCAGTTTGGGGGTGATAACATGTTTATAATTGGAATTTAGCTTTATCTTTTTGTTAAACTGCTGTGTGGAGGCATCAGAGTGTACTGCAGTTCAGTAGGGTGTCAGCTCAGTTGCGAACATCAAAAATACCTCAGTGACTCTAATGATGTGTAACTTGATGATCATTAATCAAAGTCAAATTTAAAGATAAATGGAATAATTGCTAAATCCATGATGCAAAAGGAGTTCAAACTGGATCTCTACCTGGTCAGGGCTGTGTGGACACTTCAGAGACAGTTCTGTAACCATGGCAACATGAACAACCCCACAACAGCAAGCTTTAGGCTTTGTTTCTCTCTTTACTCTTTCAGATTTTGTTTTCTGGCAGTAAATGGACTTTAAATCTGTGTGAAATATTGAGTGACGAAAGTCTGGCAGGCTTGCATGTCAAAGTTCTGCAATTTCCCTTCGGGATCAGTAAAGATCTGTCTGTCTGTCTGTCCGTCTTTCTGTATATCCGTGTTTCTGTATATCCGTCTATCCGTCTGTCTGTCTATCCATCTACCTGCCTACCTACCTATCTAAAGCCGACAGTGTTTGTGACGTCCTGCTATTACTTTGTTTGCTTTTCACGCTGTATTTTCTGCAGTGTGCGCGTTCATAATGTTTTCCTGAGTGTATGATATTAAATTTAATGAGGCATTATTTCCCCCACTGAGCGTTTTTTTGTTCTCATGTGGACGGAGTGACTTTTGGACATGGTGTAGGTGTGGACAAAGATTTCTTTTTTATTTATTTATTTTTTTAATATCTGGGTGTGTGTGGATGATGAAGAGTTTAGATTCGGCTGAGCTCAGTCCAGCCCACTGCCATGAAAGAAACCCTGTTACTGCAGAAGCATTTAAAAGTCATTAATCACAGAGCAAGGTGATGCTGCACTAAAGGCTCCTGCAGTTTATACTAAAGCCTTTCACAATGCCTCGTGTTGACTTAGCAATGCTGCCTGATGGCTCTAACTCTCTCTTTCTTTCTCTTTTTCTCTCCCTAGTTCTACCCCTGTGCTCAGACCCATGGTGGGAGAGGTGGCCGATGGAAGACACGGCCCTCAAGCAGCCCACCATGGTCTCCAGACTGCCCAAGTTTGGCTCTCGTGCTCCGGCAGCTGCCAACCCCCTCCCCAACGGTTCTGCCCTGCCTGTTTCCTCTGGAGGGGGTAAAGGGGCAGCTGTAGGAAAGCAGAATGGGGTCATTCGACTTCCTTCTTCCCTCTCTGTGAAGTGGAAGAAGGGAAAGGGGGACGGTGAAGAGAAGGTAACGGATGATGATCCTCGTGTGGGCCTCCAATCCCAGCAGCAGCCGCGCTCTGCAGTCATGGTTAGAGAGATCGGGAAGCCCTCTGTTGTCCCGGTGGGTAAGGCCAGACGTTCCATCCCTACTGTGACCAACACCAGCCCGAGGACCATCCCTCAGACCACCAGGGCCAATCAACGCACAGCTGCACCCAAACAACCCTCCCCAAGCCAGCCGCTGTATGGCCGTAGGGCTGGTGTGAACGGGGTCGGCTCAGGCCTTCCGAAACCTGGCTTGGGCTCCTCCTCGTCCCCACTGTCCCAGTCCAGCGACAGCCTCAAGTCCATCTCGGTGGAGAATGTGGTGCGTTCCCAGAGCTTTAGCTATTTGAAGAGCTCTACTACCACTGCGAGTCCACCCTTGACCCGCTCCTTTTCCTTTAACCGGGCAGCGGAGTTGGCGAAGGAGCTGCCTAGGCCTCTGGCACAGTCCCCGCTGGCCAGGTCTCCGGTCACTCAGCCGTCTCTGGTGTTAGCTAGTGAGAGAGGAGCCAAGCCTACAATAACAAGTACAAGCTGCCCCTTACCACCCACGGCCCTAAAGAAATCACTTCTGCCCAGCTGCTCCGGCAGCAAGCCTTCAGCGATTAGCTACAAGCTGATGCGGCCATCCCTCATGAAGCAACCCCGCACAGATCAGCCAGGGAAGGTCCAGGTGAAAGTGGAGCGGGATGAGGACCCTCAAGAAACAGCTCCACCTACAATTGAACTATCCAGCACCACAGAAAGTCCTGGAACCACTCCAGATGAAGCCAAGGATACTGATGTCATCCAGTGTCTGTCCCTGGAGGTCCCAGAGGACATGTCTCTGTCCTCCACCTCTTCTTTGGAGCGCAATGACGTGAGCGAAGAGTACATGGACGACTTCGATGACCTGGGCAATGGGTGTGGGATCCAGCTGCTGCCAGCCCATGAGGGAGGAAACGACCAGTCCAGACTCTGTGATGATGACAATGCTGTCGTCAGTCAGTGTCAGGATGGGTCGTCAGTGACCAGTCTGCACAGTTTCCTGTCCGAGTCAGTAGACTGGGCAGAAATGGGCCTCACAGGTAGGCCCGAGTATGTTGCTGTCTTCAGTTTCTTCGGTTGTAATGAGGGGGGGGTCAAGCTCAGGTCCCAGAGGTGTAAACCCCTGCAAAGATGTTGTACCTCTTCCAGCAGACCAAATTCAGCTTACAAAAGCTTTTTTAGTCAGCTGATAAATTAGATTGGTTGTGTTAAAAAGAAGGGTTCATCGAAAAAATAAAGGTAGTGAAAGTCTGTCACCCAAAATCACGTCAGCCAAAGTAGGAGGTACGTTGCTAGCGCTGGTATAACGAAGGCTCCTCTTCAATGCTTGCTTCAAGTGCAAACTAGCAAAGCCTTAGTAGGCTGTGCCATCATGGTACATGGTAAAATAGGGCTGTTAAACAATTAAAAAATGAATCATACTTAATCATATTTTTTGTGTAGTTTATAGTGATTAATTACATTTGTCAAAGGTTTTCCCATTTAAAAAGCAATACATGTTGTTAAAGCTACATGTACGGACAAAATAAGCTTCATCTGAGTGTGTTTATTACTTTCAGTATGTCAGTATAATCATTTCCATCATTTGAACTTGAAAATAGATAGAATCCAGTTTACATCACCAATGTCTAAAGAGAGCAGTGGCTAGATGTACCAACTCCTCTGGGATCATAACCTTGTTTTGAGATTTTATTCAAAGGATTCTACAGAATGGCAGTTCTTGGCCTCTGCGTCACCAAATACGCCCTTCCTTGGATGCATCCTTGGCTTTGAGTTTGAGTGTCTGTGGAGTTCTATTATATAAGCTTCATAGCTTGAATGTAAAAGTATGTAGTGGTACAGTGTAGTGGCCGCTCTGCCTTCTATGCTGTACCCTGGGGTTCAATCCCCTGCTTGGGTAAGCACCCTACACTATACCAGTAAGAGTCCTTGGGCAAGACTCCTAACACTGCCTTCACCTACCTGTGTAAAATGATCAAATTGTAAGTCGCTCTGGATAAGAGTTTCTGCCAAATGCCATAAATGTCTACCTGTGCAAAATGATTTAAAAGGAATGCATGTTGTTAAACCTGCATGTGTGGACAAAATAAGCTTCATCTGAGTGTTTGTTACTTTCAGTATTTCAGTACAATCATTTCCATCATTTGACCCATTTGACCATGAAAATAGATAGATTGCATAGTTTACATCACCAGTGTCTAAAGACAGCAGTGGCTAGATATACCAGCTCCTCTAGGATCATAGCTTTAGCCATTTGAAGAGCTCTACCACCCCTGCGAGTCCACTCCTTTTTCTTTAACCGGGCAGCGGAGTTGGCAAAGGAGCTGCCTAGGCCCCTGGCACAGTCCTCTTATCCAGAACACAGGTAGGCGAAGGCAGTGTTAGGAGTCTTGCCCAAGGACTGTGATCCACATAACGTTACCCATTACTTTCTTCCTCAAAGGCCATTCACTATATAAAGTGCAGGTTTCAATGTTCAAGAAAACCACTGAAAACGATTTGACCGTCATGTTTGTCTTGCGTAGGTGGCCGAGAAGGGTTGGACGCCTCTCCTCACCATGTGCCTCGGAAGATGTCTGCAGGAGGAGATTTGCCACACGGCTCTTCGCTGGACCTCTCCCCCTCGGACAGCTCCGGCGGGACCTACATGTGGGACGAGGAGGTTCTGGAGCCGCTGGGAGGAGCCACGCACGGCTGCGGGAGCTACGACTCTGACCTCAACAGCATGGTGAGTTGGGTTGCATAGACTGTGTTGGGTGCAGGGGACTCTTTAACCCCTCGTCTACTCAGTAACTCCGCGTGTGAGTGTTTCAGGTGCTGTCGCCCACTGACACCTTTTTCAGCCATAGTTTCCTGTAGTTGTGCATAGAAATATAATAAAAAGAAAAAAAGTGCTGCCATAAAGAAGCACCGCTGTTCTCTTCTCTAATCACTTCCATTGTTTCCACATGCGTAGTTCAGTCATTAGGATGTAAACAAAGTCATTCAGAGTGGTTTGATGCAAATTATGTTCTAGAGAAACTTAACGAGAACAGTGTTGTTCACAGTGGCGGTGATAGGAACCAGACGTCCACCTCTAAAAGCTCCCTCACAGAAAGTTACTACACTGCCTGAAGCCTGAGACCTTGTTTTGTGATAGTTTTGTGAGGTTTTGGCTTAAGCATGTTTTTTGTTAATGGGCGGATACACGTGTGGTGTTGTGAGACAAAATAGTCCCCAAAGAAAACATATTTCTCCAGATTTTCTGCTATTTTATCATCATCAACATTCCATATAAAAGCTCAGAAGACACATGTAGGTTCACTGGTGGTTTTGGATAGTAAATAAAATAGCTATATCTGTGTTTGTAGTCATGGTGACCCCTGGTTCCATTCACCACCACTATAAAGACATCTGAGTCTCTATAATGAACCACTTTCCACCAGACCACTCTGAATGACTTTGCATCTCAACCACTGAATTATGCATAGCTAGCTAGTTACATCATATTCAAAACCCAATCAAATTACATGTCTTGTTTGTTTTCTGAGTGCAAAGGCTTAAATTTTTGTTTCGTTCTGCAAATTTTGGTGCACAGTTTCTGTTTGCTAAGTTTAGAACAGTGGGAAAAATATTTAAATACAATGTAATATGTGCTGTAACTTTTGTGCAGGCCACAATTTATGTTTTACCTTTTTTCATATATATTAAATTCAGCAAATAAACAGTAATTGTACATTAAAATGTGCAATTCTCTGTAGAGGATGTGTAACTTATTTTCACTTAGCAAATCAACAAAGCATGTAATGATCGGGGCGCCCAAACTTTTGCCTATGATTGTGTATAAGTGGGTCACGTGTAAGAATGTGCACGATTCTCACCAGTGTTAGCTGGAATTAGCAGGTTAATAGGCAGGTTAGTTTGGGGCCTTATTAAGGTAATGGGTTTGGAGGATAATATAAGAATAATTACATTTAATAATTACAAGTAGTTAACAAGGTCAGTGTGTCACTCTGTGGTGAACAAAGAGTTTGCAGAGAATTCCTGACCACAGGACAATCACCACAGATAATTTCATGTTATACATGTCCTTGGATATGAATGTATCCTTCAGAAGTATCATTATTTGTAAATCGAATAATATTCCCCAGTTTTAATGACTTTTTTCATTATATATTTAAGTAGAAATTATGAAAAGCATTCAAACATGTTTAAGAACGTGATTTGATTTCCTAACATGTGCGGGTCAGTCAGCTCTGCCTCAGCACCCAGTGTGGGCAGCTTCTACATCACATGACTGTGTAATGGAGGGAGGAAATAGGGAGTCATCAGAGGGATTAACACGAGTGGGAAAGTCTGTCTTTATGTTCTTTTTTCAGACACACAAGCTCAGCGAGTCTCAAAGGGAATTTCCACCCATTTTTTCAAAATTGGTATGTAAATAAATGGTTAAAATCTAAAAAGAGCCCTCTTTTGGAGCGAAATGGTCCGTTCTAGAGACACTTTCCGAGTCAGACAGTGGTGGTTATGAGAACCAGACGTCAACTCCAAAAGTTCCCCCAAAGAAAATTATTACATGAAATGAGTGAATATGAATATGCTTGATGACACTGTTTTATAATAGTTTTTGGCCTAAAATATGTTTTTTTAAAAGGGCAGGGAGGGACATGCAGGGCATCGTGAGGCACAATAGTATCTCAAAACCTTTTTTTTCCACTTATTTATCACTATTTAACCATCGGCAACATTATATAAAAACTCAGAAGACGTGTGGGTTCGCTGATGGTTTTGGATGGTAGATAAAATATATCTGTGCTGTAGTCATGGCGATCCCTGGTTCCTGTCAGCACCACTGTAAAGAAATCAGAGTCCATAAGTTTCCTTTCAATAACCCACTTTAACATCAACCCTCTCTGAGTGACTTGACGGTTGAATTGTGTATGAATTTTGAAAAAATAGTGGAATTCCCCTTTAACAACACTTGTTTAAAGGGCCCCCTTCCATTTTTCTTGTATTTTTTTTCTTTTGAAGTCCACGTATTTGGACTTGTGTACCAAAAATGGCCATAATTCATTTTCTCAGAATTAAACAGGTTGTGCCTTTAAGACTAACATATGCAAATGACCTCTGTTCTGATTGGATGCCCTGTATTGCGCCTTATTAAAAGCCTTTCATTTTCCGGAACACTCTTTATGACTTCATGTGAAGGAGTAGGCTGAACTGATGAAGGCCGAACGGGTGAATGTGTTTAACTGAGTTGGCTTTTGTGACATCACAAAAGCAGTGAAGTCACAACAGGCTGTTTTTGCAGCGTATTTCCATATACTGAATGAGTGGAGTGGAGAGTGAATGGTGTGATATTGGAACATTTATCACCTCAATCTCTCTTATTTTCCCATGAAATCGGCCCTTTAAGCGAATACTGTGCACAGGCAGTTTGATGAGCCTCAGACAGGAGTTCAATACAGCTTTAATGCAAACCAGCAGTCCAATAGGGGGAACATTTTCTGCTGAGCCACAGAGTCTCTGCTGTTGGAGCTGCGCCACTGTTCGTGCCCTTTTGAAGTGACGCCCATCTATTAGTGTCCTGGTTGGCTGTTGCCTGTGGTGATTCCCTGTACCTACCTCAGCAGCCAATGAGAATGCTCTCTGCATGCCCGGTCAGGAAGCAGAGCTGTGGGATTAAATGAGGGAATGACGGTGCAGTTATTGCTCTCAGGTCTCACTGCATTGAAGTTTTCTTCTATCAAAGATGAAAACAGAGCTCCAGGAGTGTCAATGCATGTGTTTTATGTATATAGGCTTATAATATATGCTAATAAATCTGGATATGTACTTTTTTAAAATACATTTATATTCATTTATTGAAATCTCAGCCTAACGTGTTACATGTGCTGTTTTGTTTTGGGCCAGTATGTAGGTGAATTGTTTCGTTGACCTGGTGCTGATAAGGCTGTTGATCTCAAATCTCTTGTTGTGACTGAAAGCTGCTTACGGGTGAACCTGCAGTATTAAAGGGCCCATATCATGGAAAACTGAACTTTCCTCACTTTGTTGCAGAAGATTTTGATGTAGTCTGTAAACCCTATTGAAGTTTTAAAGTGTGCCGTTTTCTCTCCCAGTCGATATATATGCAAACTATGCAGCAAAAACAACCTGTTTTTTTTGTGATGTCACAAAAGACAATGGATATTTTGGTAATGCCTGGAGTTGGAGATATGAGGTTTTGTTCCGACAGCAGCGAATATGCAAATTATGCTGCAAAACAGCCTGTTTTGTGATGTCACAGATGTTTTTATGATGTCACAAAAACATCCCATTTGTTAAATATATCCGCCTACAACAGTTTAGCCCCGCCCATTCATGCTGAAGTTATAAACAGTGTTTCAGCCCTGGCTGCTTTTTGAGTGAGGGACTGTGCAGGACAGCCAATCAGAGCTCTCAAACAGAGCTCTTTTACATGTTTTATACAGTAACAAAAGTGGCTTGTTTAATTTTAATTGAATTGAATTGCTGTTTTGAATTGCTGTACTATTTTTAGTACATGAAGCCAAACAAAGAGAACCTAAAAAGAAAAAAAAAAGGCTTCTTTGGCTCATAACAATAGTGGAACCCTTTTTGGTGCTATGTAGAACCCTTTTCAAAAAAGTTCTATGTAGAGCCATCTACAGCACATTCTTCATGAATCTAAAGAACACTTTCACGTTGCAAAGAATCCTTTAGTCTTACAAAGGGTTCTTTGAGTGTTCATTGTTCTACATATAACCATTTTCTTGATTAAAGAACCTTGGAAGAACCATCTTTTTATGAGTGTACACTCTTAGCAAAAAAGAGTTCTGTGTAGTACCAAAAAAGGGTTTATTGGCTTATAACAATAGTGGAACCCCTTTTGTTGCTACATAGAACCCTTTTCAAAGGTTCTCCATGAATCTAAAGAACCCTTAAATCATGCAGAGGGTTCTTTGAGTGTTCATGGTTCTATATAGAACCATTTTTTTGACTAAAGAACCCTTGAAGGACCATCTTTTTTATGAGTGAACACTCTTAGCAAAAAGGGTTTTATGTAGTACCAAATATTCTATGTAGGTTCTTGGGCTTATAACAATAGTAGAACCTTTTTGGGTGCTATATAGAACCCTTTTCAGAAAGATTCTATATAGAACCATTTACAGCACATACAAACAAAAAACAACCGATTCATTAAATATATCCGCCTACAGTAGTTTAGCTCCGCCCATTCATGCTGAAGTTATAAACAGTGTTTCAGCCCTGGCTGCTTTTTGAGTGAGGGACCATGCAGGACAGCCAATCAGAGCTCTCAAACAGAGCTCTTTTACATGTTTTATACAGTAACAAAAACGGCTTGTTTAATTTTAGTTGAATAACAACTGTTTTAATACATGAAACCATATAAAAGAACCTAAAACGTAAGAAAAATGTGGATATGGGCCTTTTAAGAATAGAGGAATTCCCAGGTTCAGGCCGTGTCCATTAACAGTGAGCTAACTGGGATCGGCTCAGTTGGACTGGAAGGAAAGCTGCAGAGTTTTAAGGTGAGACGTCCGGCTGGATGACCCACAGTAATATCACTCACGATTGTGCCGGTGCTGTTTTGCTCAGCTTCAGGTTCTGTTTGTGTAGGTTTTCAGGGTGAGGGTGCTGATGGTTTGGATGTGCTGGAGTGTTCTTGATGTCTAAGGCAGTTTGTTCCGGAACTAATGCCGCCCCCTGTGATCAGCTGCAGTGTGC